GAGGGGAGGGGAGGGAGGCGGCGAGCAGAGAGCAGAGGAAGGAAGGAAGGAGGAAGGAAGGAAGGAAGGGAAAAGGTAAATGACAGAGAAAAAAGGAGAAAGAGAGCAGGAATAAGGAAGGAAAAATTAATGGTAGAGAAAGGGAAGGGAAGGGAAAGGAAATGGGCAAAGGAAAGGAAACTCTGTTAAGTACTTTTTTTCTTTAGGCAACTTCAAGAACTTTCATCCTTAACTGGCAACCCAAGAAAAGAGCAGGGCCTTTGAAAAACAAACAAACATGGAACTAAGCAGCCTTTCCCTGCAATTTCCCTGCCCACCAAATGGTTTTCAAAGGTAGACTGCTTCTGATGCTGGGGGCTCCACTCCGCCATCATCGTCAATAGCGACTGATGCCTCCTCTTCCTCAGGCCTCATCAGCAACTTAGCTCTCTTTTCCTGGAGTTGCTTTCCCCCCACCACCCCAAGAAACCATTGCAAGATCGAAGATGACCCCAGCCCACACTGTAGCTGCAGGTGAGTTTTGGATACCTGAGGGGGCATGGCCAGAAGGGGCGTCCTTTGTCCACTGAGAGCCCTCCTTGGATGTGGGGCTCCCTTGGGGAGAAGGGCCAAGAGTGCTAAACCAGGATGTTCATTCCAACTTCATGGGAATGTTTCCTGAAGAAGTGTCACTTCTCCAGGAGCCAGAGATTACTGAGGTCGCCCCCACCCCATTTCAGTTTGTATTCATGAGAGTGCCCCCCACCCCATCCAGGCCCTGCCAAGGTCAACATTTCTAAAGCTCAAGCGTGCAGCACCACTAACGTGAAAACAGGACAGGCAGGACTCCTGGCGCTGTTCACACAGCACCCTTAGCCAGGTCCCTCAAAGATTAAGCAGCTGCATTTCCACATATATCTGGTTTGTTTAAATTTGGATTCAGGTTTGCGGGGAGTTAGCATATGTGCAAACCCAGACCACTTGGTTAGTTTATGGTTCAAGGTATTGTGCACACCCGGAACGTGAATTAACTTAATAACTGAGTTAAGCGTGTTGTGTGAACCACCATGGAATAGTTCAAGCCTGTGTCCCCCTACCTGGTGCCCTCCAGAAGCTTTGGGACTGCAGTTCCCAGAATTCTCAGGGGCTGCTGGATGGGGAATTCTGGGAACCACCATCCCCACCTATATGGAGGCTGTTCGCTCATTTTTATCACATCCCTTTGGGTCTGTTGTTGCTCAATCCCACTTCTTCTGCCATGTATGATCTACAGGCAGGTGGGGTTGTTTTCCAAAGGGGAAATAAAAATACAGGCCACGTTCACGTGCAAATGGTTCGAAGAAAGGCGTAAGGGAGCCGTGCTCTATAAATCACTCCTCTTCCTCCTACCACCCAGCCTTCTCATACGGAGGCCTGAAATCTTGTGTCAAGGAGATCCATAAGTTAACGAGCAAACGTGGGTGGGACCGTTTGTCCAAGATTTGACAGATTTGAATGTCTCCTCTGAGAAAGAGGTGGAAAAGCAATTTCATCATTTCCAATAGCAAACAGAGGCGCTCAATGCCAAAGATTTTATCAAAGGGAACAGCTCTGGGGTTTGCAAGAACCTTAAAAAAAAAGGGCCCTCGGCCAGAGAGTTGCCTGGGATCAGCTCCTCTCCCTCAGCCCAACCTAACTCACAGGGTTGTTGCAGTGAAAAACGGAAGGGGGACCACCATGCACGCTGTCTTAACCTCTGAGTGGCTTTTGATCTTTGATGAGTTCATGGAAGCAACCTGATAACTTTCTTGATAGGGTTACCGAAGAATCTGCCGCTATCTTCTTTAGAAATAGTCTAGGCAGCAGTCCTGAGATCTCCTTGTGGTCTTCCATCCGAGCCCTAAATGGGTCCGAACCTGCTTTCCTTTCTCAGCTTAGCCAAGATCAGCTCAGCTGCCACAATGTGGCATGAGATGTTATTTATGCAGTGCCCAACGGTGGTGCTGGCCGCCACTGGGGAACTCATTGCCACTAGATGCAAGCCACAAGTCGTTTCAAGCTGAAAAAGAAAGCGGAGCCGTGCCTGTGAAAAACAAGCAAACAGCGGATCTCCCCAAAAAAGAAAAGGAAAGTTCTTGCGGCACTCAGAGGAAGGTTGTGTGGCCTGGAAGTGGGTGAGCTGCGCTTTTGATAAGAGAAGGTGTTTCCCCAAAGGGCCAGAGGGAAAGTTTAACTGTAGGAAATACTGCTGTGAGGAGGAGATTTACCAACCACGAGCTTCCTGCTGGTTGCTCAAGAATGACGGCGCTTCACACCTCCTGCAGACCACAACAACAGGCCCCTTTCTCCACCCCAAAGACCTGTTGCCCATTTGCCCCTGTAAGTACCCATCACGTGCAACTTCTTTTTAGCTTTTAAACGTCCCACAACACGGCGATTCCCGGCTTTCGATTGCCCCCCCCCACTTCCCCGCAAGAGAAAAGAAGTTCCAATAGAGGTGGAAGAAGATGTGTAGCTCAGGGTTGAACTGTGGAGCCCTCGGGGTTCTCTG